CAATAGATAATTTGTGTCGGATCATATTGACATTAAGAGAATAAATAGTCATTGATTTTAATATACGTTTAATTTGTATAATACTAAATAAATGATAAACTGTACGAATAACTTTAAATCGATAACGGTTTGCACGATGACGACGATTTGTTTTTCGATTTCGTATTTGTTTTTTTGTTAATGTTGTTATTGGATCTAAATGATAGGAATTTCTTACCTGATCCGGTTCGTTTCTTATATGAACTGTCATCTGTTGATTTGATGACTGTTCATCATGATGTTGTTGTATATATCGTTGACTTGGTTCATGATAAAAATGAAGCTTCATAATTTCAGGTATAGATTGTGTATCCATATCATCATCCGGTTGAAGTTCAATAACATCTGATTCAAGTTCTATTGATTCATGTTGTACACATAATGATTCATTATAATGTGATTCATAATATTCATTATTGATTGGTCGAATTGGTTCAATGTCTTCTTGTTGTTGATATGATATTTCTTTTTCATGAACTATTACTTCTTCATATGTTGATGGTATATTAATTGATACTTCTTGTTGTAAATTAATATTGTCTTCATCGTCGGAAACATCTTCATAATCATTTGTTGATAAAAATTGTATTAAATTTAATTTATAAGATAATTTGGTAACTACGAAAACATCATTAATGGCATATTCTGTTAATATTGATCGATATTTCTTTTCTTCTTTAAGTCGATATGTACGTTCGGGACCAACGACATCTAATGGTAAATAGGTCCCTAATGCTAAATCAACACCACATGCCCATTCAGCTAATGTGGCTGTTTTGCTTAACTTGTTGAATCCCGCTTGTCTTCAATTGAAGACAAGCAGAACGAAAGAATTTTTTTTTCGTTCTGTCGTGTCAATAACATATGTTTGGCGAGGAGAAAATGAATCGAGGAGAGGTCATATGTGCAATGGCACTTATCATTATTTTTTTAATTCTGACATACGAGAAACTAACAAAGAAACTTTCGCCGATTATGCTTGAATAACGAAATTCCTTTTTTAGTTATTTATTGATTAGTAAAATCACTTATTTCAGATCTAATTTGAAGAAGGACAAGAGCTAACTGGAAAATTAGGTCCAGTTTTTTCTTGGAAAGCTGGTAAGACTCGTGATATCTTGTCATTTCCAGGTTCAACTATTATCCATTGTCCATCGATACTTTGTCCTGAATTTGATGAGTAACTAGTTGAACGATTTGGATATATAACATCGTCATCACTACACAGC